GAACTAGCAATGAAAGAGGATCTGGAAAAAAATGAAATCAAAAATAATTTCTCAGGTAACAACAGAAATTGTGTCCATTGCTCAAGAAATGATTAAAAACTCTAGAACAGAAACAGATTTAAAAAACAGAGGAGCTGAGGAACATGATGGAATTCCAGCATAGGAAACAAATGGAATCCATAAAACAGAGGCAAACAGATTTCCAGAAGATTAAAAACTTTATTGAAACAGATTTCCAAAAAATATATAAACAATATCCTAGGAAAAATCAATGAGGGTCAAAACCTAAGGAAGCCCAGCAGAATGAATCCATCAGGTAAGACAAGAAATGAAATGCAAAAGTGGAAAACACAAAAACAGCAAAAAGCCATGAAAAGGATAAATCAATACATATCACTTGTAACCATCAATGTTAATGGTCTCAATTCACCAATCAAAATAAATGGACTGGTGTAATGGGTCAAGGAAAGAGATCTGATAAATCAATACATATCACTTGTAACCATCAATGTTAATGGTCTCAATTCACCAATCAAAATAAATGGACTGGTGTAATGGGTCAAGAAGCAAGATCTAACAATATGCTGCATACAAGAAACACACTTAATTAAAAAAGAAACTAACTCATAGACTGAAAGTTAAAGGGTGGAAAATAATACTCCATGTGACAGGATCCCCCACCCTCCAAAATACAGGAGTAACTACTTTATCTGAAGATAAAATGGATTAAATGGATTTCAAACCAACACTAATTAATAGAGACAAAGAAGATCACTACATCCTTGTAAAGGGAATGATTCAAAAGGAAGAGATGGCAATCATAAATATATATGCACCAAATACTGGTGCACCCAACTATATAGAACAAATATTAATGGACATGAAAAATCAAATAAGCACTAATACAATGGTAGTGGGGGAATCTCAATACTCCACTGTCACAAATAGATCAACTAGACAACAAAACAAAACAAAACAAAAAAACAAATTCTTGAACTCAACCAAATTCTTAAACAAATAAACTTAATAGAAGTTTACAGAGTGTTCCACCCTGCAAAATCAGAATACATGTTCTTTTATGCTGCAGATGTTATTCTCCAAAATAGACCACATAATCGCTCATAAAACATTTTTAAGTAAATGCAAAGGAATTGAAATTATCCCATGTATATTATTAGATCATGGTGCAGTGAAATTAGAGATCAATAGCAAAAGAAAGCACGAGAATTTCTTAAACATGGAAATTGAACAACACACTACCAAACAGCTAATGAGCCGCAGAGGAAATTAAAGAAGAAATGATAGTTTCTACAATCAAATGTCAATGCCAGTACAACACATTGGAATCTAAGGGACACAATAAATGCAGTCTTAGGGAAATTCATCACAGTAAATACTCATATTAGGAAGATAGAGCAGGCTCAAATAAACAACCTAATGCTGAACTTCAGGATTCTAGAAAAAGAAGAGCAGGATAAACCCAGAGTTCATGGAAGGAAGTGAGTTACAAATATCAGAGCAGAAACCAATGCAATGGTGAATAAATGATACAAAAAAATCAATGAAGCAAAGATTTAGTTCTTTAAAAGAATAAACAAAACTGACATACCCTTAGCCAATCTTATCAAAGAGGAAAGAAAATGCCTAAATCCAAATAGGAATGAAAAGGATGAAATTACAATGTAACCAGCAGAGGATCATCAATACCTTTTCTGAGAACTTACACGCCAATAAGATGGAAAACACAGAAGAAATAGATACATATGAATTACCAAAGTTGGATGAATAAGACCTAAAAATTCAAAACAACCCAATATCAATCAACAAAATTGAAAACATAGTTAAAAACTTAATAACTAAGGTCTGGGAATTCAGCTCAACAGCATAGTGCCTGGCTGCTAAGCATGAGGTCCTGAGTTCAATCCCTGGTACCAAAACAAAAAACAAAAAAAACTTACTAAGAGAAGCCCAGGTCCCGATGGCTTCACTTCTGAATTCTGTAAGACATTTAGAGAATAACTATTGCTGCTACTGTTTAAACTCTTCAATGAGATTGAAAGGCAAGCATACTCCAAAATTCATTCCTGGAGCAAGCAACTTCTTAATCCCCAAAGCAGAGATAGACACAACTGAAAAAGAGAGCTATAGGTGAATCTTCTTAAAGAACATAGATTCCAAAATCATCAACAAAATATAGCCAAACAGAATGCAGAAGATTATCAAGATCATATACCTTGATGAAGTGGGATTCATCCCAGGGATGTAGGGATGGTTCAACATATACAAATCAATAAATGTAATACACGATATTAATAGAGCCAAGGACTAAAACCATGTGATCATCTCAATAGATGCAGAAAAATCATTCAACAAAATCCAACACCCGTTCATGATTAAAAAAAAAACCCTACAGACAGTTAGTATGGACAATCTCTAATAAAAGCCATCTATGAAAACAGCCAATCTCAAACTAAATACTCAAAAACTGAAATTCTTCATACTTAAATTAGGAACAAGACAAGGATATCCACTATTACCACTCCTGCTCAATATAGTTCTGGATATATTAGCTACAGCAATTAGACAAGAGAAAGAAATAAAAGGAATAAAGATAGGAAATGGAGAAGTGAAATTGTCATTATTTGCAGATGACCTGATACTCTATAGAAGATCCCAAGAACTCCATCAAGTCTTCTAGACTTAATAACCAAATTTAGTAGAGTAGCTGGATACAAATTCAACACACAAAAATCAATAGCCTTTCTGCATATGAACAATGGACTCATTGAGAGAGAATCTGGTGAAACAACTCTGAAAATAGCATAAAAAATTGAAATACTTAGGAATCAACCTAACAAAATAAATCAAAGACCTCTACTCTGAAAACTATAGTAGTCTGAAAAAAGAGATCAAAGAAGATATCAGAAAATGGAAAGAAATACCTTGCTCCTGAGTAGGAACAACCAACACAGTGATAATGGCCATAATTCCAAAACTGCTATATAGATCCAATGCAATCCCAATTGAAATTCCAATAGCAGTTTACAGCCATACCACCCTGAAACATCTAATCTCACCTTACCTGAAATTCCAACAGCATACTTCACAGAGCTTGAGAAAACTATCCAAAAATTCATTTGGAACCAGAAGAGACCTAAAATAGCAAAAGCAATTTTAGACATCAAAGACAAGGTAGGGGGTATCACTATCCTCAACTTGAAACTATACTACAAACCTACTGTTATAAAACCAGCATGGTACTGGCCAAGAAAGAGACCTAAAGATCAGTGGATCAAAATGTATGATAGATTTTGTAGAAGAGGAATAAAAGGTCCAAAAGAGAAGGGAAATTGGGAGGGTAAGGGAAATGAAAGAAAGAAATATGAGAAAAGAAAAAATGGATACAAAGTATTTGTAAAAAGAGATATGGAGGGGTTGAAGGGAGGACAGCAGGACAGGGAAAAAATAAGAACCAATATTTATTATGCAAAAGTACAAATTCCCAACAATTAATGCTAGCATATTGTATACCTAAAATGTACCAATAAAGTTAATTATTTAAAAAAATGAATACAGCTAAGCAAAAGGGAAAAACTTACAAAATCAGCAACAGGAAAATATTGTAATACCAGGAATAAGTCATCATTTCTCAGTAACAACTTTCAGTGTGAATGGTCTTAATTCCTTTTGAAAAGACACAGATTGGCAGAATGAATCAAGAAACAAAACCAATAATATGCAGAATTAAAAAACACATTTATTTTAAAAGGACTCACAGACTAAAAATTCAAAATATAGGAAAAAAATAGCCCATGCAATGAGAACATGGAAAAAAGAAATAGTGGCTATCCTAATTTCAGGCAAAGTGGATTCCAAGCCAGGACTGCTGTGAAAAAAAAGATGGTCTCTACATATTGGTTAAAGGAACAATTTAATAGGAAGAGATAACAATTATAAACATATATACACCAAATACTGGCATATCAAACTTCCTAAAACAAACACTAATGGATATGAAAAATCAAATAAGCATCAATATGATTGTAATGGGTAATCTCAGTTACCATACTGTCTCAAATATCAGATCAGCTAGAAAAAAATTCAATGAAGAAATATCACAGTTGAACCAAACCTTCAAAGAAATGGAATTATATCTACAGCATGTTCCACTCAACAAAATAAGGAAAGAAAAGATTCAAATCCATGCAATTAGAAATGAAAAAAGGCAAAATCACAACTGTGGAAATCCAGAAGATCATTAGTAACTTCTTTGAGAAACTGTATTCTAATAAAATGGAAAGTTCAGAAGAAATGGACAGTTTCCTAGATATATGTGAACTACTAAAGCAGAACCAAGAAGATATAAAAATCCTGAATAGTCCAGTATCAGTCAATAAAATTGAAGAAGCAATAAAAAAATTACCAACTAAGAAAATTCAACAGGTCCTGATGGATTCATTGCTGAATTCTACAAGAACTTTAGAGAAGATGTAATATCAACACATGACACACTCTTTAAGTATATTGAAAGAGAATCAGTACTCCCAAATTCTTTCCTGAAAGTAAGCATTACTCTGTTTCAAAAATAAGAAGAGGACCCAACCAATAAGAAGAACTACAGGTCAGTGTCTTTAATGAACACAGATGCAGAAACCCTCAATATGATACTGTCAAACAGAATACAGCAAATTATCAGAAAGATCATACATCATGACCAAGTAGGATTTATTCCAGGGATGCAGGAATTGTGCAACATATGCAAATCAATACATGCAATACACCACATAAAACTAAGGGCAAAACTCACATAACCATCTCAATAGATACAGAAAAATATTTGACAAAATGCAACATCCATTCATAATAAAAAACTGAACAAACCCTGAACAAAATAGATGTAGAAGGTTTTTATCTTACCTGATTAAAAACTGTCTATTACAAACTAACAGTTAACATCATAGTAAATATAAAGACTCTGAAAGCTTTCCCTCTAAAATTAGGCACAATCCAGCGCTGCAGCCAGCCCCTGAAACTGGACACCAGCTTCAAGATCCTGGACCAAGTCATCATCCAGGAGCTCACAGCCCCATTACTTACCACAGCCCAGGTGAAACCAGGAGAGACCCAGGAGGAAGAGGCCAACCCAGGGGAGGAACCATTTGTGGAAACCTGCCAGGACGGCGTCTCCCGCCGGTTCATCCCCCGAGCCAGGACGCTGTCTACAGAGAGCGCCAACAGCTTCACACTCATCGGGGAGGCATCCGGCGGCGATACCATGGAGAACCTCAGCCGCAGACTGAAGGTCACTGGGGACCTTTTTGACATCATGTCGGGCCAGACAGATGTGGACCACTCGCTGTGTGAGGAGTGTACAGATACACTGCTGGGCCGGCTGGACACGCAGCTCCATGTCACCGGGAATGAGTGTCAGAACTACAAGCGCTGTTTGGAGATCCTGGAGCAGATGAACCAGGATGACATTGAGCAACTGCAGCGGGAGTTGAAGGAGCTCACCCTGGAGGAGGAGCGGCTGATCCAGGAGCTAGAGGAGGTGGAAAAGAACCGCAAAGTGGTGGCCGAGAACTTGGAGACGGTGCAGGCAGAGGCAGAGCGGCTGGACCAGGAGGAAGCCCAGTACCAGCGGGAATACAAAGAGTTTAAATGGCAGCAGCCGGAGCTGGATGATGAGCTGAAGAGTGTAGAGAACCAGATGCGCTATGCGCAGGTGCAGCTGGACAAGTTGAAGAAGACCAACGTCTTCAACGCCACCTTCCACATCTGGCACAGCGGGCAGTTCGGCACCATCAATAACTTCAGGCTGGGGGGCCTACCCAGCGTCCCTGTGGAGTGGAACGAGATCAATGCTGCGTGGAGCCAGACTGTGCTGCTGCGGCACGCCCTGGCCAACAAGATGGGTCTGAGGTTTCAGAGGTATCGACTTGTTCCCTATGGAAACCATTCATACCTGGAGTCCCTGGCAGACAAATCCAAGGAGCTGCCATTGTACTGTCCTGGGGGGCTGAGGTTTTTCTGGGACAAAAAATTCGACCACCATGGCCATGGTGGCTTTCCTGGACTGTGTGCAGCAGTTCAAAGAGGAGGTGGAGAAAGGCGAGACACGGTTTTGTCTTCCATACAAGGATGGACGTGGAGAAAGGCAAGATTGAGGATACTGGCGGCAGTGGGGGCTCCTACTCCATCAAAACCCAGTTCAACTCTGAGGAGCAGTGGACAAAAGCACTCAAGTTCATGCTGACCAATCTGAAGTGGGGTCTTGCCTGGGTTTCCTCACAGTTTTATAACAAATGACTTTTTTTTTTTCCTTAGGGGGATGTCTGCCTAAAAGACTAAATTTTGTTTTGTTTTGTTTGAAAAAAAATGTTTTGAATTTGGGTGATATTAAACAGCACATGTTTACAATACCAAAAGAGACAAAAGCCACTTTACCTTAAGGTGTGGTGTGACAGGTGGCACACCTCTGCGGCCACCAACCCTGGCCTAGTTTTGACTCAACCCCAAGCTTTCCTTTCCTTCTCTCCCTGAAAAACAACTAACTTAATTTTCCTTCTTTTGTACTGAGTTGAATTGAAGTTGATGTATTTTCACTGGATTTTATCTTTCTCAACTTCTTGCATTTAAAATATGGAATAGAAACTGTGGTCTCCACCGAGATGCTGAGATGTGTGAGGCGCACATTGGATGACACGGAAAATGTCTTAGCTCTGCCCGGCCACCATGTGACACGGTCACGTGATGCCCTCCCAGGAGCCTGACACTGAACCTCTCCTCCCTGGGTTCCTTAGTGAACCCTGATCTGGGCACCCTGTAGCATGGCAGGGACAGGGTTTGGTCTGTTTGGGATGTTCGAGAGGTTGCATTATTTGTAATAAAAGGTTTGCTACAGTGAAAAAAAAAATTAGGCACAAGACAAAGATCTCTGTTACTACCACTCTTGTTCAATATAGTTCTCAAAAAAGACAGAGCAATTAGACAAGAGAAAGAAATAAAAGAGGTATGGAAAGGAAAAGTCTTATTTTTTTACTTCTTTGTACAGTGCACCTTGACTTACGAACTCAATTCACTCACAGAGGTGGGTTGTAACTCAAGTTGGTTATAAGTCAAGACTATTTTTCCTATTCAAATGATGGAAATATCCATAATACATTCTCAACCTCCCAAAGCATCCCTTTGCTAACTTTTTCATAATAAAAAGGCTTGTATAATGTACATAAATTACCAGAAACATCAATAATTTTCCGCCTAGTGTATTCACCAAAAAGTTATAAAACTTGCCTATTTTACTAGAAAAAATTTCATGATGAGGAGTGTCTTGAGTAGTAAAATTTGCTCCTCTCTACATTTCTTTTTTATTGTGTGTTTTGTTTAATACTTGCATTGTTTCTATAGCACAATTATAGCAATCTTTAAATTTACTTTTCATTACAAATATTTGTCAAGATTTGTTTCAGAAACACTTTTCCCACTCACTTTCACATGTGCCCAGACACACTACAAAAAATTCATTCATAACACAGTAAGAGCAGACATTACTCACGTAAACTCTTCCATTAATTTCCCATAATGAAAAAAAACATAGAATTATAGATAATGGATAAGGCTCATAGATTTAGCTCAAATTCCACAAAAGACCAAGGATGCTTGTTCACTTTTGGTTACAATGAATGCTGAAAGTGGACCCCTCGCTTCCACTCATGAAATGTAACTTCACAACCCAGTAAATGCATTTCAGGATAAAAAGAGTACACTGAAAACCCAGGAGGAAAAACTTTTGCAGTAGGGAGCTCAGAATCATGGACATAACTTTCTAATATGATAAGCAGTCATTCCATAGTCCTTGTATGTGAGAGACTGCTTGGGCGTGCACAAGATGGCTGCCCTCAACCTTAGCCTTTGCCTCGGTGGAAAAATCCCACTAGACTACATACGTGACTTTTGGCAGGTCTAGCCCCTGGGCAAACAGGAAATCTTACAGAAAAAAAAATGGCCCTTTGTGCTAACCACAGGGTCACGGGATCTGGAACAGGAAGCAGGTGGTATTTCCTTGTCCTGCTTGCCCCTAGAGATTGTGAAGTTAAAGATCGCATAGGGTTAACTGTTGATGTACGCCTTCCCACTTACCCCTCCCCACATTTGGTAAAATACTGATTGCTGTATGGTTAAGTGCTTGAATGACTCATGTGATTGGTAGAAGATTTGTTTGAACTGTCCAATAAGCTTGCTGAACCTTCCCCCTGGGATAACAGTATATAATCGTTTTGCTGAGCCAATAAAGAGCCTTTGATCAGAAACCAGACTTGGGCCGTGTGCTCTAACTTCTTAAAGATTTCCTTCACAGACATTCAAGATCGGATCGGCCTCTGATGACCCACGAATAAGAGGCGGCTCTCACCTCTTATTCCCCGCGGGACAGGGTCCCCCCAGAGAGCTGCACTTGTAGTTTCTCTATGCACAAATCAAGATTAATTCTAGTGTTACCCAAAATGTAACTGCGTAGGTGGGTTAAGATACATTGGCATGTGTTTTCATATTGCTAGTATACACAGTGAAAATGTCATCATATTCATCATTTCATTATATCAAGGAACAAAGTAAAAAAAAAAAAAAACAACTCATTCAAGTCAAATATCATTAAAAAGGAACTTTTTTTTTCCCATGCAGGAACAAAAGTCAGGAGAGTTGGGAGGTTATTTCCTAGGGATGCGATGGTGTTGACATTCAGGTGACTTCAGACTGTGTGTCCAGTCACAGGCAGAGGCAGTGGGGGCTTTGTGACTCAAGGACATCACCCTCTCCCTCCCTCCCTCTCTCTCTCTCTCTCTCTCTCTCTCTATCTGTCTCTCATTGGAAGTTTGGTGCCCAGGTGTATGGTCCCATAGATTGAAAGTAGGAAGTGTGCTGAAGGCAGGCCCTGGCCAGCAGCTGCTTCTCCTTCCCTCTCTCTGGAGGGGGACAGCAGGCAGAGGTGGCTGGCAAGACCGTGAAGTAACCGCCAGGGTCTGGACACTGACTCCACCAAGGGCAGCCTCCCTGCTGTGTGGCTGGCAGGAGGGTGGCAGGTGATAGTGGTGTGGGACCAACTCTGGCCTCTGATTCAGCTGCCCTGCAAAGAAATTGTGCTCTGAATGGATAAGTGTACTGGAGCTCCAATGCCTGGGATCCACTCCCAGGCCCTGGGTGCAGGGAGATAGTGAAAGGTGAGCGCTTCTCCATTAGCACCAAGCTGACCACTGAGCTAATCATCAGAAGTGACTGAGGCACTGGGGAAGCCTACAGCTCTCTTTGTCTGGATCATCACCAGTTAGAGGGACTTGTAGGCTTTGAGTTTTAAAAACCAAAATTGATCTGCATTGTATCTCAATAGACTCAGAAGTCTCATTAAAAAACTTTTGTGATGTGTTTAAATTGCACTGGAGTAATTCAACTTCATTTAAATATATTCATTCTACCATGAAAATACTTCATGCAGACATCATTTACATATAAACACATTAACTTTTGTGAAAAGAATTTCCAGCCCTGTGGTAGTATGGAGTTTGTTTGCTCTGAATATGTATACACACAATTTGGCCAAAGAAAACATTGAAAATTTAGCTCAGGGATGCAGAAGGCCACCATTCTGAATCCAGAAATTGGTGTACTGATGAGTGGCAGAGCAAAGGCCACTCAGTGGCTTGCTGAGGATTAAAGACCACTAGGTGAGCAAAAAGTTGCCTCAACAAAGGCACAGCAGGCTGCATTTTTATCCTCATTGAGTTTATTGGTACATTTTAGATATACACTACAGATACATTTATCATTGGGACCTTGTACCTTTACATGACAGGTCTTGGTTTTCATTTTTTCCCCTTGCCACTGCCCTCCCTTCACCCCTCCCTTCCCTATTTACAAAAACTTTATTTCCATTTTTTCATTTTCTCATATTTTTTCTTCTCCCTTATTTTCTTTCCCCTACCCTTCACACTTCCCCTACACATTTAGCCCTTTTTTTTTTCCTATTTCACATTGTCAATTATACCATTGGGATATTATGTACCATTATAGCTTTATACACCAGAGAAATTATTCGGTATTTATATATGTGTGACCTATTTATTCCACTTAGGAGTATATACTCAATATGCATCCATTTTCCTATGAATGACTCTAATTTCTCATTCTTTATGGCTGAATAGTATTCCATTTTATAGAAAAAACACATCTTGTTATCCAGTCTCCAACTGGTGGGAAAACGGGCTGTTTCCAAGCTCTAGCTATTACAAACTGTGCTGCTATAAACATGGGTGCACATATATCACTGTGGCATGATTCCTTTAATTCTTTTGGAAAGATACCCAGCAGAGGGATGGCTGGGTCAAATGGAACCTATAATCTTAGTTCTTTGAGGTATTACCAAATTGATTTTTATAGTGGTTGCACCAGTCACAATATATGGAGAAGGGCTCCTTTCTCCCCACAACCCAGCCGACACTTGTTATTGTGTGATTTCTTGATAGCAGCCATTCTTTCTGGGGTGAGGTGGAATCTCAGTGTTGTTTTTATCTGCATCTCTCAAATGAACAGTGATGTGGAACATTTTTTTATATATTTACTTGAGGCTTTTACTTCTTTGTTTGAGAAATGTCTGATGCCCATTTTTAAATCAGGTCTTTATATTTAGGGGGCTGATTTTTTTAAGTTCTTTATATATTCTACATAATAGTCCTTTGTCTGAGGAGCAACTGGTAAATTTTTTTTCCTACATTGTGGGTTGTCTTTTAGTTCTGTTGATGGTTTCTTTTGCAGTGCAGAAGCTTTTTAATAAGATGAGATCTCAGTTGTTGTCTCTTTGTGCTGGTTCCCATGCTACTGAGGAGTTGTTCATAAAGTCTTTTCCTATGCCAATGTCTTCAAGAGTTCTGCCTAATTTACCTTCCAGCAAATTTAGTGATTCTTTTACACAATTTATTAAAGAGAATATCTTTCCTCCAGTGAGGATGGTCAGCTCCTTTTTCAAAGATGAGGTAGCTGAGTACATCTGGAGTTGTTTCTGTATCTTCCAGTCTATTTCACTGATCCTCAAGTCTGTTTCTTTGCCAGCACCATGCTATTTTTATCACAGTTCCTTTGTAGTATAGTTTCAAACTGGGAATTGTTATACCTGCTGCCATGTCTCTGTTGCTGAGGATGGCTTTTGCTATTCTAGATCTCTTCTGGTTCCAAATGAATTTTTGGATTCTTTTTTCTAGTTCTGTGAGAAATAGTGTTGGAATTTCCATCAGCATTGCAATAAATCTGTATATCAGTTTTGGTAGTATGGCCATTTTCACTATGTTGATTCTTCCTACTCAGGAGCAGGGGATAT